GTGAGTGTGCCACTGCACTCCAGCCTGGGTGACAGAGTGAAACTTGAACTCAAAAAAAAAGGAAAAGGGACACTGAACAGACACTCCCAAAGGAAGATATACAAGTGGCCAACAAACATATGAAAACATGTTCAATATCACTAATCAGGTAAATGCAAATTAAAACCACAATGAGATGCCATCTCACGCCAGTCAGAATAGCTATTATTAAAAAGTAAAAAAACAGCAGATGTTGGTGATACTGTGAAGACTGGAATGCACATACACTGTTGGTGGGAATGTAAGCTAGTTCAACCCCTGTGGTAAGCAATTTGGTGATTTCTCAAACACTAAAGACAGATTTGCCATTTGACCCAGCAAAATTCTACTACGGGGTATATGCCCAAAGAAGCATAAATCGTTCTACCAGAAACACTAGCATGTTTATTACAGCATTACTCACAATAGCAAAAACATGGAACCAACCTAGGTGCCCATCAATGGTAGACCAGATTTTTAAAATGTGGTACATACACATCATGGAATATTACATAGCCATAAAAAGTAATGAAATGTCATTTGCTGCAACTTGGATGTAGCTGGAGGCCATCATTCTAAGTGAATTATCACAGAAACAGAATACCGAACACTATATGTTCTCACTCTTAGGTGGGAGCTAAACACTGGGCACACAAGGGCACAAAGACATTGAGGACTACTACAGAGGGGAGAGAGAAGAGACAAGGGTTAAAAAAACCACCCACTGGGTACCATGCTCACCACTTGGGGGGCTGGCTCATAGAAGTTCAAACCTCACTATCACACCCTATACCTATGTAACAAACCTGCACATGTATCCACTGAATCTCAAATAAATTTTAAAAAAAGCAGTGATGCTATTTAACCTAGAAGTTACTAGCATCATTCTGGCATCTCAATGAATGAATGACTCAAGAAATAGCTCTGAAAACTCAACTGATTCCCCCTGGAGAGCAGCCTCTGCTAAAGCACTGCTTCCTGTCACAAGCAAGATGGCCTGGCTGACCTGTGTGATCAGAAGGGGAGCACATGACTGCAGCCTAACTCACCCTTGATGGTATCCTCAGTCAGATGCTTTGAATCTCCCTGAGCCCATCTGCCTGCCTATGTACCCCAGCCCCACGCTTCACCCCAATGAGTGCAGAGAGGGGGAAGGATAGTGTTAGTGTGGAGAAGTTACTGTAGATGTGCAGACACCACAGGCAAATTGTTGCAAATGCTCACCACGTTTGATCAACACGGTCAGTGTCCCTGCAAGGAGGGAAGAAAGAGCTCAGAGGAGAAGCCAGCCAACGGGCTTGGGGCACAGGGTGGGGAGACATATGGTCCTAGAAGCATCATTACTAGGCAAAGACGTTCCATTTTCAACCCAGGTTCACTTGTCAGGGGTGAGCCACGGCACAATTCAGAAACTCCTTATCCCAAGAACAATGAACATCTGCCAGTCACCACCCTAGCTCGGGCAAAGTATCCCTAGTAACTCACTACCTCAACCCAAAAGGAGAGAGAAATCAGGAGCCCTAAGGATTGGAAGACTGTTCTCAGCTGTCCCTACTATTCCCCCCAGCTACAGCTGCTCACCAATGGCACAAGGGAAAACAAGTTTGGAGTCAGAGAGCAGGGAAGGAGTAGGAAAATGAAGTTCCCTGCCCAATGCAAAAAACTACTTTTGCTCATGGCAGTCATATTGAATAGGAAGAAATTTTATGCTGGGAATAAGAAAAGGTGGTTTGAACGGTGGCTGCTGCTCCACCAGTTTGGGAATCAAAACAAGAAAGGGTGTCATTTGTAAATTTCAAAATTTAACAGTGATCATTCTGAATAAACATACCAAATGCAGTTTTACAAACACCAATTTCAGAGACACAGAAGATAAGACTAAGACTAGGGGTTTGCCTCAAGTAAGATGCCCACAACCCTCCACTCTGCAGGTTCTGGGAGCCAAATCTCAGCTTCCACACCTGGCCCACCCTACCACACCGCCCAATGGCACCTGCAGTGGTGCTTCCTACTGGCGAGCCAGAAGGCACTGTCACACGCGTAGCAGTGGGCAGCCAGGTGGTCAGGGAGCCAACGGGTCATCTGCAAAACAGATGGAGTCAGGTTAATGACAAGAGGCCAAACACTGGAACCAGCAGAGCCATGCTGGGGGCAGCAAGAGTCACAGGGACCACATCAGCTCTGGTGGCACCAGCCCAATACTGTCAACAGTACAAGAAAGGCGTCCAAATCATTTCCCTGGAGGGAATTCCAATCTCCCTTGAGATAAAGTGGCAGGCAGCAGCACCCTGGGTCACTGTGAGAGCTGCAAGGCTCCAGATCATAAAGTCAATGAAGAGAGAGGCCAGCTTGCTGGGTCACTGGCTCAAAAACTCTAGGCTTGATATGGGTTCACAGGAGTAGAGATGCCAGAGTTCAAGGCTAGCTATGCTATGAGGTCCTTCCTTGGTCAGGGGAATGGGGTAGGGATGGGAGTGGAAAAGAACCACAAAACAGTTGCATGGATGGCACTCAGAACAGGGGCTGAGCCTGTACCTCCGTGTCCTGTTTATCCACCTGCTCCCAGCTGGCTTCAGAGAAAATCTCTGTGCTGCAGCGAGACAAACAGTTCTGATCCAGATTGCTTTCCGAGTCAGGGATTGAAGTCTGTTGGCAAACAAACACAGCTGACAGAATGAACGGGGTCTCTTCCCAAAAGAAGAAAGGGCTTGGTAAAGAAGGGAATACTGGGAACTCTGGGTAGGGCTGCGTGTTAGGGCTGCTGGATTTGCAGATGCATCAGCCATCAAGAAATGGGTTGAACAATTACAGACATGGGGCTGGGCTCAGCTGGGAGAGGGATACATGGGTTGTGTACAGTGGCTCTTGAGTGGAAAGACAGAATTTAGGATTCTAGAAAGTAAGTGGTAGAGGAGGGACCGAGATGAAATGGGAACTCTGAGTGTCAGCTACTCCAGTGTGCCTGTTTATCCAACCCTGCCACTAATTAAAGCTGAGTGCTTTGGACAAGCCCTCCTTTCCCAGAAGGACTCATTGGGAATGTGAGAAACCACCATAGCATGAAGGAAAAGCCAACAAGTCATTCTGAATTGAAAGTCATTGGATGTGCCCGCCTTTAGTGTATGCTGACTGCTTCAGAGCTAGGCTCACACTTTTACTTGAGTGTGCTAAGTCAGGTCGGCCCAGAGAAGAGAGTACCTCCTTGAGAACTTCTCCTCTGGTACCTTCATTTCCAGCCACCAAGCCCCATCAGTGCTAACTCCTCAACAGTCCTAGACACCAATCCCTTCTCTCCATTTTTACTGCCAGCGCCTGCCATAGGGTGGTGGTACAAATATGAGGGGGAACCCACAAAAATCCAGAATTATCTTTTGGAAGGCAGGCTCCTTGCAGTACACTCAAAATTTGTTCCTCCAGATCAAATAGTCAACCAAAGTTTTCATCTGGAAGTTTTGAGAAGGTTGCAGAAGAAATGTCCTGAGTTGTGGCAGCAGGTGACTGATTCTTCCACCATGACAACACATCTGCCCACACCGTGCTGAGAGTTGATAAACGGCATGACCCCTGTGCCCTACCCTCCCTATTCAACCTATCTCACCGTGAGCAGCTTTTTTTTGCTTCCCCTGGATGAAGAAAATTCCTTAAAGGGAAACGTTTTGCTGATATAGAAAAGGTGAAGCAAGCCGGTGCGGTGGCTCACGCCTATAATCCCAGCACTTTGGGAGGCTGAAGTGAGAGGACTGACTGAGTCCGCGGGTTCGAGATCAGTTTGGGCAACTTGGTGAGACCTCATCTATACAATAAACCAAAAAATTAGCTGGGCGTGGTGGCATGTGCCTGTTATTCCAGCTACTTGGAAGGCTGAGGCAAAAGAATCATCTGAGCCCAGCAGGTTGAGGTTGCGGTGGCCATGAGTATGCCACTGCAGTCCATCCTGGGCGACAGAGTGAGACTCCAACTCAAAAAAAAGGAAAAAGAAAAGGTGAAACGAAAAAATGGCAGTTCAAAATTGTTTTTGAGCAGTGGAAAAAGCGTCTCAGTAGGTGTACTGCATCAAACGAAGAGTACTTTGAAGGTGACTGAAGTTTAACATGTAAGAATAAATACATAATTTTTAGTAAATAAATTCTGGGGTTTTTTTGGTCCCCTTGTTTAAAAGCAACTAAACCTTTAAAGCTACAGCTCACGTCTGAGAGGGCTAATACTTTCCAGCTAATAATGTAGAAAAGGCACTACAATCCGACAGGAATACTTGGCACTGCCCTACAGATGTATTCTGCACAAGAGTTCAAGTCCTTCTGAAGACATATGGTCTCTCTGAAGAGATTTGATCAAATGGATATCTGTGGAAAGTAAGCAAAGCAGAAAAGAAGCAGGCAGCCATTTATGTGGCTGCAGCTGATCCCAAGCCTCTCAACAGAGCTACTCTGGATCTTTCCAATCCTTTTAGAAATCTGTACCAATCACCATGCACTGGCCACAAAGGGTACCCAGCCTCAGTGTGCCATATCTCCTCTGGCAGCTATGAGGGAACCGTGGCCTACTCACCACTTCATCCCCAAAGTCCCCATTGAAACGTAGGGAGCTGGTCAGGTACTGGCTCTCCAGGCGACTCTTCAGCTCCTGGACTTGTTTCTTCAGGGTCTCCACTTCCTGCTGGTGGCCTGACTCAATCTGACGCAGGCGCTGTTGGATTGTGTCTGTGTATACAGGCATGCCATCATCGTCCAGGTGGCTGCGAGAAGGCTGGTCAGGGCTGCTAGTCACAGATGGCCTCCCTGAGTGGCTGTGCAGCCACTTGTGGTGCAAGTTCCTTGAGTGTAAGTGGGCAGAACTGCAGCTTATAGCAGACAGCTGGCGGCTTAGTGAGTCCTTGCTCCTACCAGTTTCTCCATTGGTGCAGTGCCCGTTGGGTGTGGGATACTTCTGGAGAGTGCTAAGCCCTGGGGGTTGCTCTGAGGCCTTGTTTCCAGTCTCTGGGACACCGTTGCAAACAAGTCCCTCTTTACATTCGGCTAAAGGCAAGGCACAAGGGGAACGTGTTGGGCTGAGAGTGCTGCCAGGGGAAGTCCTGTGCATCACAGACCCCATTTGGGGCCTCTCCACCAAGTTCCTTTCTGAAGGGCTGGACTCCATGGTTTGGGGGAGCGTGTCCTTGCCACTGAGTCTGCCACTATTCATCAGGCAAGGCCTATGATGATCTTGGGGCCCACTTTCTGACTTCACCTTATCTTCCATTAACAAGTCCATGGAACTGTCCACGTTTGGTCCTCTGGTCTCAAATGGGACTTGGGAAGTTAGCAGAGAATGTGACTGTGAGGTACCATAACCAACTTTTGCATCTCCTGGGATTGAAAGAACTTTCTCCCTTTCCTCTGTGAGCTCGCCTATTCGAAGATGCTCCATAGGGATCTCCTGGGACTCCTCTGTCCCAGGGAGAGCCTGGAGAGAACTGAGAACACTGTCACCCTGCTGTTCAGGAATACTCTGTGAGAAAAGAGACAAGCTTGCTCCCGGATGGTTCCTCAGAGCAGCATCACCCAGTTCTGGATCTTGGTGAAGTCTGATGGCTGAGACCTCAGGCATTTTCCTCCTGCTCTCCTTTTCTAATAGAGCCTCCTCTTTGACCTCTTGGATCTCAATGTCCCCCCTCTGGGCCGGCTCCTCTACACCACTCTCCTCTTTGGTGGCTTCTTGCAAAATGTTTTCCATCTGCCCCTCGGCCACTCCAGCTGCAACAGAAAGTTCGGCGCCCCCTGGCACTCTGGTGGGCTTTCCCAGGCTGTCAACAGAAAGAGGCTCCTCTCCAGGGCCAGCCAGGCTGCTCAGCTCTAGTGAACGCCGGTGCTCCTGCCACTTCTCATTCAGGCTGGGGTCACTGCTACGCCGGCTAGCCAGAGGCACTGCGTTGTCGCAAGCTGTGGTCAGATTGTCAAATGATCTAGTCTTTGGTAGCCTAAAAGAAAGGAGTTAAGGGAAATGAGAATCTCGGAGGCCATCAGAGGGAAGTAGGAAACAATAGGTTTTAACAAGCAGTTGTAGCCAGGCTCGGTGGCTCAGTCTGTAATCCCACGCCTTTGGGAGGCTGAAGTGAGTGGATTGCCTGAGCCCGCGGGTTCGAGACCCGCCTGGGCAGTGAGACCTCATCTCTACAATAAATAAAAAAATCAGCCGGGCGTGGTAGCGCATGCCTGTAATTCCAGCTACTTGAAAGGCTGAGGCGGAAGGATGGCCGGAGCCCAGCAGGTCGAGGCTGCGGTGGCTGGGAGTGGCCACTGTACTCCAGTCTGGGCGACAGAGTGAGGCTCCAACTCAAAAAAAAAAAACCAAACAAGCAGTTGTTTCATGACTGGGTCCATTACAGCTGCTTGTAGAATCGTGGCATCTCTGGAGCGAAGCTCAGGCTGCTAGAGTGGCAGACTCCCAAGTGAGTCCTCATTCTAGTATGTGCTCCCACACTGTCCTTACTCCATACCCCATACAGCCAAATAAGCTAACACCAAACGCTATTTTCAAAAGACATTTTTCATGATGCTGCTGTGTTTTTCAGCTGATATTACAGTATTTTAAAGTAATGTATTATCAGCCTGAATTTAATAAAGCTAATTCACAAGTGGCAAGACCAAATTTTCCATCATTTGACAGCATATGCCTTTCAAGCCTCAAAAGAAAAATGGCAGGGAGGCAGGAGTACACAGCAGTGGGTGAAACTACAAACCAGAGGGTCACAGAGAACCCAGAGGAATTTGCTCCATCATGGAGAAACTGCTCAATACATGCGAAAGGATAATGGAGCAACAGGGCCTAGCCCACTTCCAGAAACAAGCTCTTACTGCCTCCTAGCCCAGAAACCTTTACACCTTCCTTGAGAAAACTGCAGAGATCTAAGAAAGATGTTGTGGAACCAGACAACATCACAATCTTTAACCATGCCTGGGCACATCCCAACACAGAAACATACCCACACAGGGCCTTCAGATCCTGGACTCACCGGCTCAGGGGAGGATCATCAGGGCTGGTGCCTGGGGCTGGGTATGGTGCACAGCTATCGTCTACAGGGGTGGACGGGGATGGGCAGGGCAGATACACTGCACTCCACAGCATCAGGTTGCGCACATGGCACACAGGGTACAGCACCTGAGAAGAGGGGGGAGGACACAGATTTAAACATATCCCAGTAGGTCTTCCAGAAATGTCTGAAAATGAGGATCAAGAACAAGTACCCAGATGGAATGCTCAACAGAACTTCCACAAAGAGGCAGCATCAGTGGATGCAGGTATAGCTCCCAAGAGGACCAACATGAGACTAGAGATTTCATACGGCAACATTTTTCACCTAAGAGCCTCTTTGTGGGCATGAAAATCTAAAGGATTTTTAAAAGATCCCTTTCTCATTCATTATTTCTCAGGTCACCTTTATTGAATGACTGTCATCAGCCTGATTTGTTGCTTTTACTGCATAAGAAAGTGAGTCATTCTGTTAGATGGTGATTGTCTATTCCCCTGGTACAAGACTGGCTTCGGCAGACACTGTCAAACCTGTTTTATAGGATCATTTAAATTAATTGTGTGAAAAGGAGAGAATTTTCTTCCTGTATTTTTACTTCCCCAGCAGGAACAGTGAAGGAGAGAGCAGCAGTTAGCTTAAATCTTTTCTTTGACTACTTAAGTGTTAACGAGAAGCATATTAATAGCACAGCAAAGCAGTGTAACTTCTGATTAGCCTCCTTTTGACTTTAGAATTTAAGATGCATTCTGACAAAGACAGCATTACTATGTACTGACACACAAACCTATGTGCTTCTTTTTCTCTGCTTAACAGAACGTATTCATTCCCCTGGGGAACAAAGTTTTTTGTTTGTTTGTTTGTTTTTTGAGTTGGAGTCTCATTCTTGTCACCCAGGTTGGAGTGCAGCAGCACGCTCAGGGCCACCGCAGCCTCAACCTACTGGGCTGAGGTAATCCCTCTGCCTCAGCCTTCCAAGTAACTGGAACTACAGATGCACGCCACCACACCTGGCTAGTTTTTGTGATTTACTGTAGAGATGAGGTCTCTCCAAGTTTTCCAGGCTGGTTTCAAACCCCTGGGCTCAGACAGTATTCTTGCCTGGGCCTCTCAAAGTGCTGGGACTACAGGTTGAGCCACTGAGCCCAGCCAGGAACAAAGTCTTAAAGAGCCTGCCAGCTCTCCATGTGATCAGGGAATAATGAAGAGCCACACGCCAAAGTCAAATATAGTTTTTTGCTCTCTGAGACAGAAGCTGCAGTGGATATCATTGCTTGTTGACAATGGAGGGTGCTGGGAACCAGACGGTAGTTGTTTCTGAGCATCCAAGAAGCAACTTAAGTACCTTCTCCGCCCATTAGACAGAACATGCTAGAAATAAGTCCTGGAGGAGGTGCCAGAAAAGATTTGTATCTTGGGTGGCAAAGTACAAATGTGTATTAAGCCAAACCACTCTGAGCAAAGAGCAATGAAAAACAGGTCAGAGTAGCACTGGGAAGTGGGACTTTCTCAGGACAGAATGGTAGGGGGAAAATGGAACCAGTCCATCCAGAGCCAGCAGAGATTACTTTCACAAAAAACAGTCATTACTCAAAAAGGCTCTTACATGGGGCCCACCCCCAAATTCCTTCTGATCACAGAGGAAAGGCTGAAAGATACATACGGCTTCTGACTGGGAGGAATACAGCAGGTTTTTGAAAGCCTTGTTGCCCGCCCGAAGAAGTGACCACACAGAACATGTCCGTTCCTGAGTATGCTTTTCCCCTCTCTCCTTGGCGTTGTTGCACAGGAATGTTCCAAAGAGGCAGGAATAGGTATGCTGTACCAGTTTCACCTACAGATGTCCAATGAAGCAAAAATCAAGCAATAGGGCATATATTCCTTGAGAGGTCAGCTAAGCTGAGCCACTCTACCCTGTCATCCTGAGAGTTCACTCTATCACGATGGGGGAGCCCAGTAAGTCACACAACAGCGTGCTCCTCACACCACCAATTCCAGGGCCTGACTCCAACCACCATTACTCCTGAGTCAAGACAGATTACTGGCACTCTCACTCCTCTTTAGATTCCTTGGTAAACAGTCTCTGAGATTCTGAGTTAATAGCCATCCTCATAAGCAACAGAAGATAAGAATTGTGTATAAGAGTAGGTCAGAGTACAACTCAAGTCTGAGCTGAAAACGCACTTGTAAAACTACTCGTTCATTCAATAAACCATTACTGAGAATTTCACATGCCCCAGACATGACTATAGATGCTGGATGTGCAGCAATAACCAGTCAACTCTTTTGCCCTGATGGAGCTTGCTCTAGCTATAGGTGAAGGGTGGCCAGGGCTATGGGGAATAAGGCAAGGTGAGAGGGACAGGGTGATGCGGGGCAATGTGGGAAGGCCTCACTGGCTGAGATGTGATGGAAGTGACAGAGCAGGCATGTGGGGAGGGAAACATTCCAGGCAGAAGCAACTGCATATACAATGAGTTTCTGAGGAACAGTAAGCAAACCAGTAGACTAAAGTGGATGGCACAAAGGGGAGAACGGTAGGAAAAGAACCCAGAGAAGATGGACCCTGTAGGCCATCTTAAGTACTTTGGCTTTCACTCGGTGGGAATGGTAAGTCACTAGAGGTGTTTGAGCAGAGAAATAGACAGTCTGTCTTATGTTTTGGAAGAGACTCTGTGCTGGGTTGACTCTAGAATTGGAGCAGGAGATGATGGTGGCTTGGGCCAATGTGGCACCAGTGGAGGTAGCAATAAATAATCAGGTTTTAGATATATTTTGAAAGCAGAGCTACAGCATCTGACAGGCTGAATGTGACATGTGAAAGAAAGAAAAGTTGAAGATGACATAAAAGTTTTTGCCCTAAATAAACAGAAGGCTGGAGTTGCCATATAGTGAGATGGAAGACTTCTGGAAGATCAGGTTTGGAGATGGGGAGATGTAAAAATCAGAATTAAGTTTTGAATGTATTAAACTTGAAATATCATTAAGACAACCAAGTAGAGACACCAAGCAGTCAAAAACGGATACATGGGTCTAGAGTTAAGTGGAGAGGTCTGAATTGAAGGTGTATACATGTGGGACTCACAGCATATACATGGCAATTAAAGCCACTACACTGGATGAGATCCTTAGAGCGGTGTATAGATGGAGAAGCAGCTTGGAGGTTGAGTCTGGGGCATTCCAACATTCAGAACTTGGGAGAGTAGGAGGAATCAGCAAAGGAAACAGAAAGGACTAGCCAGTTGAGGTAAGAGAACTAAGAATGAGGAAGTGCTATGAGTCAACTAAAGAAAGCATTTCCAGAAGGAGTGGTTAAACTGTCAAATGGTAATGATGGAGCAAAGAGATGAAGACTGAGAACTGATCACAGAACTAGTAACATGAAGGTCACTGGTCAGTTTAACAAGAACAGCTTTCATAAAATGGTGGGATGAATGCCTGATTGAAGTGGGTTTAAGAGAGAATGGAAAGAGAAGAATTTGAGATAGCAAGGGTAGAAGACTTGAGGATCTGCTATGAAGAGGAGCAGAGAAATGGAACAACAGCTAGAAGGAAATGCAGGACCAAAAAAGGGTTTGGATAAAATGAGAGACACCATGTTTGTATGCTGATGGCCATGACCTGATAGGGAGGGAGATATGCTGACACAGAAGGCAGAAAGAAGAAATGCTGCAGCCAGTCAGTGGAGTAGATGAGAGGCGATGGAATCTGACATACAGATAGACAGAGAGGCTGGAAGAGGGCAAGGGTAGTGCATCCTCTATCAAAGGAGAGGGGGCAGAAAGCTCAGGACAGATGGAGGGGGTTTGGTAGATGAATTGGAGGGAGCATGGGACATTACAACTAATTCTATTTCTGCCACTTAGAGTTTCTATTATCCCTTTTAAAAGCTAAGTTTAAAACAACTCAAGGAATTTATGCTAACCTAGTACATCCAGATTCTCTGAGTAAATAAATATGTTTATTGTTTGTTGTTTTTTTAAAAACAAAAACAATAGAAAGAACTGCCCATCTATTAAATTCTAAAAAAGCTGCATAGTTTCTCATAAAAACTAGCCCACTAGCACTTGCCTTGATACCCCCTCAAATTGAGAAGGTCCCCAAAATGAAGATTATAAGCCCAAACTCACAAGGAATGCTTCATTGAACTCAAAAGAGCAAGGAAATTGCCTCTGAAGCTGATGAACACAGTCAAGCCACTGCAGAAACACTGGGCAGCGCTCATTCAGATCATCCGAGTTCTCCCCATGACCACAGCGATCAGCAAATTTATGACCAAAATCCAGCCACTCCATCTCCACGAGGACCTGGAAACCCTGCAGGGAAACACCCAGGAGAAACACCTGTGCTGGACTATCCAGACTGTGACAGTCCTGAGGCTGGTGTCACAGACAGCAATCCCTTTTAACAGCCTCTCCCAGTAAGCCAAACTGACCCAGCCCCTCCACCAAAGGCTCTACCCCTGATGGGACACATGCTTAGGGAAATTTCCCAATTCCCTGAACTCCATTCCATAATTTTATTGAAAGAGTACTAACTATGCCATTACCTCAGCCTTTCCCGGGTCTGTTTATATTTCAGACTCTTTCATTCACCTCATAAAAGCCAAACATTTTTTTTCCTTAAATTTCTCTTTTAAATTTGTTTTTGGTATTATACTTACAAAGTTATATTTGTAAAACTCTTCTCCACCCCAGATTTTACAAATATTCACATACATTTTAGAACTCTTTGTGTTTTCCTACATCTTTAATCCAACAGATGGTTATTTCAGAGTAGGGTTCCTTCTCTAACAGAACACTCTGTGATAATATTTAGACCCATTATAATAATAATAGGCAAGAGCCTTTTACAGAAGTGAGGTAGCTAAAACTTTTCCAAGTAGAGAGACTGCAAAGGAAAATATGCCTATAATCTCAATAACCTGTTACTCAAAATCTGTCCTATTTTAAGGGGTACAAGAACTATGGTAGGCACCACCAAAATTTAGCTCAAGCTAAAGAAGAAATGATTAAAAACAACACAATTTCACTTTTTTTAGACATAATCATCATCTCCAAAACTGAGCACTAAACCCCCAGAGAGGTTTCCCCCAGTCAACCTGAAATACCAGCTCCTACTCTTTGGAGCACTCACCTCTACAGTTCGGTAATAAGGATCCAGCAAGAGTTTAGCCAGTGCCACAATCTGGGGGGTACGGTCCCAACCATCTGAACAGTGCACTAGCACAGGTCGCTGATCACGATCCACAGCATGCACTACCAGAAGTGCTGATTTCAGAAGTACAGACAGGTGATGGAGCCACTTTGTGCTTTCAAGTGCTGAGAGCCAACTATAAAAACAGGAGGGGATTTGAAAATACTGGTTTCTATGATTTACTGCATTATATTCAATGCCTGTCAAATAAAAAAGCAATTCCCAAAGAGTTTTCTCTTCAAATATCACACTATCAACACAAACAAACAAAATCTCTGTGTTTATAAAGCATGTCTACGGATGAAGCCCAAGCCCTACTATACAACAGAGAAGAGCCATAGAAACAGGGACTGTAATTAACAAGACCACCTTTTGCTCCAAAATCTGAATGGCTAATTTCCCAGAAAAATGAATATTTGATATTTTCCAATCCATGGTGGACATACACCTACCTGACTGACCATTATTTAGTACCAGTTGATACTGTCCATGCCTAACAGAGAAGCTGTACTCCAAAACCTGTCAGCTGAGGAGATGCTGCTGAGACTCCATGCTCCCTTGTCCTATTCTCAAACTAAAGGAGAAGCATGCCATCCCTTCGCCCTCCATAGCCCCAAACACAAGCCTGGGCTTACTTATAGCTGGGCCATCACTGCCACGGTTGCTTTGTATCCCTAAGGGAGACTTCAATGCTGCAGCATTATGACTTGCTACCAACTACACAAAAGCATTACCTCCTTTTTAAATAAAATTCCCTAGACATGTGGACCGAGTAAGGCTAATTACCTTTCTGACTGAGTTTTTAAGACAGCTTTTTAAGAAAGAATTTTAGCCAAACACCATGGCTCATGTCTATAATCCCTAGTACTTTGGGAGGTCAAGGTAGGGGATCACTTGAGGCCAGGAGTTTGAGACCAGCCTGGGCAACATAGAGATTCCATCTCTACAAAAATAAAAATAAATTAGCTAGGCATGATGGCATGCACCTGGAGACCTAGCTACCTGAGAGGTTAAGGTGAGAGGACTGCTTGAGTCCAGGAGGTTGAGGCTACAGTGAGCTGTAATTGTGCCACTGCATTTCAGCCTAGACAATGGAGCAAGACCTATCTCAAAAAATGATACTAATAAAGGGGGGGGGGGAGCGGCTTGGTGGCTCACACCTGTAATTCCAGCAATTTGGGAGGCTGAGGCAGGAAGATCACTTGAGGCCAGGAGTTCAAGATCTGTCTGGGCAACATAGGGAGGCCCTCATCTCTACAAAAAAATTTTCTTCTAAATTAGCTGGACACAGTGCACCTGTAGTCCCAGGCTACTAGGAAGGCTAAGGTGGAAGGACCATTTGAGCCCAAGAATTTGCGGTTATAGTGAGCTATGCTCACACCACTAGACTTCAGCCTGGACAACAATGTGAGACCCAGTCTCTAAAAAAATAATTTTAATATATGGAAGGTATTAGAGACCATATAAGGCTGATTATATCCCTTTCATTTTATAGACAAGAAAACTGACCACAGTAATTAAGCCATTTGTCTAAAGTCACTAGTTCATGGCAGATCTCCTGGGTCCTTAGCCAGGCTCCTTCTGTACCCCACCTCACAGGAGACAGTGCTGCTAGCTGGAGCTGTGCAGTGGTTGCAAATGGCTAATCCCCAAAGCAGCAGCAGCAAGCTCATTTCTTTGGTAAGGTTTTCCCCAAAGGACACTGCTTCACCCTCCGGGCTGATTACAACTATAATGAATTTAATCATTTGCTATGGGCAGTCAGAATGAGTGGTTCAAGCAGCATCCAATTTAATAAATCAAATAAAGAATGCAGCAAAACTTGATATGAACATGAGGATCTACTGAATAGTACCCAGGAAAACTATGGGCTCTAGCACAAACACCAGACAAAAGAAAATTCTGTCTTCTCTGGCAACATATCTTTGGCTTCCAAAAACAGTAAAACAGAGGTTTTAAAATATTTATCTGTCCATATTTATTTTACAAAGATTCCTCCTAATTTATCTTGTATTTAAACAGCATGCAGAAAGGTGGTATTATTTCACCTTTCTCACTACAAATGCCATTCATTTTTATTAGGCAATAAAAATCATGATAATGTTCTTAGTAAATAAGAGACAGTAGTTTAGAAATCAAAAGCAGATGTAAAAGGAACTGACCTAATGACAAGTTTAATCTTTTCAGAACATGATGAACAAATTCTAACTCTTCATGGTAAAACAGCCCAATTCATAGCAGACAAGTGTCATTATAGAATGCCAGAAACCAAAGAATTTGGGCCAAATATCATGTGGAAGAGAAGGCAGAAATTCCAGGAACAACAAGAAAGCAAGACTTTTGTTCTGAGAGCGGAGGTTTTCTCTGTACATTTTTAAACCTTTCAAAGGGCTGGATTTTTCTCCCAGCTCTTCCTCTGTACTGCCATGTTTCTGACCCAAGAACGAGATACTAGCAGAGACTTAACCAAGACACAGGAAGGAAAGACACCGACACTTCCAAACTCATTTTTTTAAGAGCTATGCAAAGTGAAAGCCAAGGCCAAGGTCTTACTTTCCCGGATCTGGCATCTGAGTGCACAGCAACCGCAGAGACTGAAAACTCCTCCGAATAGAATGAATGTTTGCCATCCCCATGAACACAACTTCACAGTTCGGGTAATACTCTAGAGAAAATAACAATAAAGAGAACACAAATATATTGAGTTTAAAGCCAACATGGCCAAATATAAAGAAGAGAACTGGCTATAAAACAAACCCACTGCAGCTGCTGACTAATGAAACTGCAATGTTTTGATGCGTGTCTATTAGTTCAATGTTTGTTATAAGAGGAAAATAGTGCTTGGATTTTAGCTGTCTTTTCAAAAAGGGTAAAAAAGGGAGGTTAGATTTGTAAAGAAGAAGCTGACATAAAATAAAAGTTGTTATTTTGAAACAGGAAAACCTTTCAACTTTCATCTCATCCCAGGTTTATTTCTTGGGCCTCAATTAAATCATGGTTCTGGAATCTCTTTGAAAAGAACCCAGCAGAACAATGCCTTCATGCATTCAAATTTCACCTTAGTATGGCTGCTTTCAATTTGCAGCTTGGTCACATCTCAGTAAGGAGCTTGGTGCCTCTACCTGTGCTACCATCACACATATAGCATTGGGAGTTAGAGGAGGTCTGTCTTTGGTGAAAGCCAGCATTCCAACAGTTAGGTTGTTACAGGTCAAGATAGAGGCACCTTACTAGAGTTCTGTATTTACTGCTTCAATTTCCATCCCAGGTTTTCTAAGTAGAATCCCTATGAGGAGTTTGCTAGACCACTGATAAGCATACCCTCAGTCAAAGGCAACAAAAAAGCTTTTATTATTTTATTTCTTTTGAGTCAGAGATTCATTCTGTCACCCAGGCTGGAGTGCACTGGCACGCTCATGGCCATGGCGGCCTCGACCTGTTGGGCTCAGGTGATCCTTCTGCTTCATTCAACTTTCCAATTAGATGAAACTACAGGCATGCACCATCACACTCGGCTAATTTTTTTTAATGATTTATTGTAGAGACGAGGTCTTGCCAAGTTGCCCAGGCTGGTCTTGAACTCGTGGGCTCAGGTAATCCTCTCATCTCTGCCTCCCAAAGTGCTGGGATTATAGCCATGAGTCACTGTGCCCAGCTAAAAAAGCTTTCAGAAGGCTGAGAAATTGAGCCCACTAAAGTAGCAGCTTCCAATCATGAGCAGGCCTTGTTACAGGAAAAGATCTGCTTATCACCTAAAGGTTGGCACAGGGAAGGAAGATTGTGTGGCCTCACTGCACCTCCTCCTCCATTTCTTCTCAGAAAAGAACATAGTGTTAATCCAAAGAGAAGCTCTGGCTCTCTCAAGGCAGGATGAGGAATATGGCCTGCCATTCATATCAAATTGAGAATGAAGTCTCAGTTGGGCAAGGGCTGGAATTACAAGGAAAAAGTATGTGGGACAAAGCACCATACACCTCACCTGGGCATTCACAGCCTCCTCCTTTGGCTCGGTTTGCCACAGCTGCTGCATAGGAGCGTGCATCCAAGATCAAAAGCTTCTGTGGTTGGATGGCTAAATTCTCTGCTCCTGAAGCATTTGACAGAGAAGAATCTAGGGACATGAGGAGCGGAGAAAAAACTAAGCGAACCTACTTCTCCCAGAACTGTACAAAATTAGAACCACAGGCACATATTATGGTACAAAAAAGCTCAATAAAATGAAAACCCCTAGCCAGAATCATTGATACAAAGGACTTTTCCAGTTTATTTTCTATCTTGCCTTCTATAAAAGTTGATGAGGATGTATTCTCCAAAACCAACTCCCAGGGTATCCAGGGGGTCCACATAGCTCATCTCCTATATCTTGTTTCTACACCTGTAGTCCTTTCATGAAGCCTAGTATTTCCCTGCCATGATCTGGAGACACTACGAGTCCCTTATCATATAAATATTCCAGTTCTGTCACGATGGCAAGAAAGACAACAAATATTCTTATATCTTAAACCAAATTTGAAACAAAGGGTCTTCTGGTTCTTTGCCAAGACCTATGAGCCTTCAAATAATCCCATCAAGTGAAGTTTCACACTCTCTTCTATAAAACCAATTCTATGTCTTCTAAGGAAAAGGCCATTTCAACAAACGGTTCTCTGATGCTATAAAAATTGCTACCATGAGTCCAGGGAGGACCTTACCAAACTCCACATCAGAAAGGTCTCCCCCATTGGGAAAGTCTCGAGAACTGTTCCTAGTGGACAGCTTGCTGCCACTCGATCGGGAGTCAGAGGCACAAGCTTTGGCTACCGACTGCACGAGGTGCTCATCATCTGCATTTCGCCAGCCCCACCAGCTAACCTCCGGCTGTCCACAGCGGGCAATGACAGCTCCGTTGCTCTGGTGCCTGTGCAGGAAACAAGAGACAACAAGTATTCTCATCCCATCCCAGGGGCTCCATTCAGATGCTCTGTACTCACATGAAAAGTAAGGTATTGGATTTTAAGTGCCTTAATGAACAGCCTGACTCTAGGTAAGTGTGGGGTTAGCTTCTGGTCCTCTTAGGATTAAAGAGGGAAGATATCTTATTCACCAACAAGAAAAAGTAAAACTTATGTATATCTTTTTCAGTTATCATGCCATTATGGAAATCTTTGTAAAGATAAAAACAAAATGATTAATGTGTACTCTTAGAGAAAATAATATTCATTTAAATATTTGGATCTTTAAATTAATTCTTTAAAAATAAGGTAAAAAAATCAACAAAGACTACAATAATTCTGTTCTCCAATAATTAAGTATTCATCCTTCCTTTTTTAGTATTGAACCTGAATACCCTAACATAATAGACCCTGAAATAAAGAAATGTGTATCTTCTGAGGGTCCCCTACAGCAACTGTGTACTCATGGCTGACTTTGGGATTCTTTTCAAACAAGATTCCACCTTTAGAATTAAAACACTTACCTTGCCCACAGTGAATTGCTTTAAAAAAGCTACTGAGATTTATGAACCACAAACTACTCTTATTATAGACATAGAGCTCAATGAGCCAGCAACCTTTCTTCAGGCTCTTAACAGGAAAGGAACAGTATCAACCTCAGAAAACCATACTCCAACCAATTCTTTTTCAAGAACACAGACCGGAAATCAAACTCAGTCTAATTTAAGATGCTACTAAAACCCAGGTTTTCCCTAATTCGGCAATTTGAAGAATTAAAAAGTTATAAAAATTACATCATTTGACAGTAAAAAGGAATAAAGTTCTGATACATGCTACAACACTGATGAATCCTGAAAATTTTGTGCTAAGTGAAAGAAGCTGGTCACAAATGGCCACATACTGTATGATTCCATTTATATGAAGTGTCCAGAATAGGCAAACCTACAGAGACAGAAAGTAGATTGTTGGTTACCCAGGGTTAGGGTGGGTGGGGAGGGACTACAGACTATTCAAGGGTATGGGGTGTCTTTTGGGGATGATGAAAATGCACTAAATTATTTTGTTTTAATTCTAAAGATTACAAGCAACAAATTAAACGTGGAAATACTCAAATTCCACTAGAACCACCAGTTTGTTGTAGTTTTTAAATTTCCCCTCACTGGAAGACAAGTAGCTGAAAGTACTTGTGTACTGCCAGTATGTTTAACTGGTTCACATTTGAATGCAGCCAAATTAGAAATAAAACCTCACTGATTCTTAAAATGTTTCCTAGCAAATAACAGGCTCTGGATACCCACTGAGCTGCATGACTCCAAACCTTCACAGAAGAGGCTGGCAGGGTCTTTCCTGAGCATCCTCTAGCTCTGCAGTGCATCCCTGCAGTGTCTGAGAGGAGCAGTAGATGGCACTCTGAAGCCTGGATCTTGAGTTTTAAGACTGGCATTACAGTAGCTAGATTTCAAGAGGGCTATTGCAATAAGCAGTAATCTTTTCTGCGGTCCTCTAAAATACTTCAGACTGCACAAAAGATAACTCAAACACTACAGTTAAAAATCGCTAAAGAAACACATTTCTATCGCAAACAGAACCAGGAAAAGTATAAAAATTATGATGTCCAATATAAGTTCTTCTGCTAAAACACTGAATGCTGAATGCTTTGATTTTCTGTAGAAACATATAATTGTTTAACTAACCCTAACTTAGAGTTAGACAAGTTCTCTAAATGACTAGAAGTTTCTAATAATCACCACATGCACAAAGGGGGGAGCTTTGAACTACACTACAAATGGGTGCCCGCCATACCACCTTGTTATGTTGGAGCAATGTCTGCTTTCAATAATAAATCCAATTAATTAAGTGCCCTCCCATCACAGTAAGAAAAAACCCTAATCACTGGTTCAGTGTGGTGCTGTCAAGTAACTGCTGCTAGTAACCTCAGGAATCATTACTGCAGTCTACAGACAACTAAATTCAGTAAGTATGTTGGATTTAGAAGCATCCTGCCACCTAGGCTGACAAAGCAGAGAGTGGTGGCGTGTCCCAAACACTCTTCAACATACCCCTTACAAAGCTCCCAAACACTAGAGCAACCCAGTATGGAGCTCAGAGATACAAGACAAATGATCTTAGACAGACTAGGTCAAGGAAGTTTGATCTTACCCGGACTAACCCAAGAACTTTCATTTGTAATCTTCTGAAAGCAAATTTTCTCTAAAAAAAATTGCTGTTCATTTACATATCATCTAGGGTCCCTAGAAAAAGAAAAAATTTGAGGGCTCATTCCCTCTAAAAATAAATTTTAAAAGATAAAAAAGGCTTCCAATTTTTATTACATTGTAAGAAGTTTTTCTTCAACTGGGACTCTTAGGCTTCTCAACTAAAAGGGAAAATTCACCCAAAGACTCTTACTTCGAAAATCAGAATACTTTCTTACGTTCAAAGTCAGCAAGCCTCATAAATGCCAGGGCTGCTGATCTAACACAGTTGTTGGCCAGAGCAGCAACTGGCTGCTTTCCCTATTCCGTTTGGGCTGATCAAAGATAAGACTCAAAATCCCTTCAGCTTTCACTGCTCTAATTCCTGTATCATCTTTACCACTTGAATGACAGGTAAACTTGGTGACTCACTTTGTAGGGATGTCTGAAAACAGTGACGAAAATTGAGAATGAAAACTTAATGGGTTCCACTTGGCCAGAACAAATACTTTTCCATCTCTCTCTATTTAGGATGGGCATCAGAATTTGCCTTCAGTAGACTAAATGAGCAAGCTGGTTACCTCTGTGGGAATTTCACAAGGCAGAAAACACCTTCCAACAACATCAATATTTCAGTGGAATGCCTCCTGGTATGAGAGAGTCTCTAACTAGGCCACTGGGATTGGCCCAACTCAGGGAGAGTCTAAAAGGTCTGCACACTAGGAAAATGAAATGAAGAGTATAAGCATTACAAGGAGGAATGACTTCTTAAAAATTTAACACAATTCTGGGGAGGAGCCCCAGCAGGTGCAGCCCTGCATGTGAATGACTGGGGCCCTGAGGCTGAGAGGCAGGAGGCTTCCCTGTGAATTAAAAAAGGGAAAAAAAATTTAACATGATTCTATGAGAACTGAAATATTCACTGAATTATAAAAGCAGCACTCAGGGACACAACCTACTCCCAATGTTGCTAAGAGAAGTCCAGTGTTTATAGGCCCTCATTTACAGTCACAGCATATCTGCAAAATAAGAACTATTGTTCTCATTATTTAGAAACAGGCTGAGTCAGTTAGGACTTACTTAAGGTGTCTTAGCATGCAGTGTCAGAAGAGAGTTGAACTCAGGTTTATGACTCCAAAATCTGCGCTTTGTCACCATGCCACTATCCCTGTTTGGAACTTGCATCCCTTGGCTCTTCTGCTTCTGGATCTCTGAAATCTTCTATCCATTCAAGTCTCAGCCTTCTTTAAATGCTCTCTCTCAAAACAGGGTACTTGTATGTGTTGAAGTTTCAGCCACAATCAGAAATGACTCAACTCTGTATTCCTAATTCACACTTTCTAGGATTCATCTCTCTCAATTCAAAAGCCCTGCTAACATTTGAAGCTAAACACAGTAGCATATTATCTTCTCAAAGAATGTAAAAAAGATGTTGAAATAGCAAGTCCAGTCACTTTTCAACTAAAATTTTTTAATGTGTGTCAACTGAACCACTAGCTAGCGTTCTGGATGTGGTGAGTACTGCTGTGATACTAGAAGTGCAGCTTTAGCAGTAAGGAGGACCAGACTTGCCTGGAAAGTTCTCTGAATCCTCCCCCTTCCTTTACAGGTTAGCAGCAGCAGAGGCAGCAGACCACACGCAGCAGGTAGTAGCATCAGCCCTCACTGGGGCTAGTCTGGCTTACTTACCTATAGACAACAGCAGGGATGCGCTTCCAGGACCTGAAGCTTGCTACACTTTCCAGTTCTTTGTCAGTGATCCAGACAGGCACTATGAGCTCCTGGGGATAGCTACCACATAACCTAACAGGGAAGATGAGAAAGGGGAGAGGGAAAGAGACACTAGGTAAGCCATCACAAGGATGATGATCATGCCACCCCACAGAGTCAGTAAAAGGCAATGAGGAGCCTTACTTGAGTTTTGGTCTCCTCAAAAGAATAGTTAAGTGTTTACTTAAGTGACATCTCAATTGGTCCACTTGATTTTGCCTTTTAGACTCTGGCAATATATATATATATTTTTTAGTTGGAGTCTCACTCCATTGCCCAGGTTGGAGTGCAGGGATACACTCACGGCCACCCTGCTGGGCTCCAATCCTTCCGCCTCAGCCTTCCAAGTAGCCGGAACCACAGGCGTACACCACCATGCCCAGCTAATTTTTTTTTATTTATTGTAGAGATGCGGTCTCACCAAGTTGCCTGGGCTGGTCTCGAACCCGCAGGCTCAGGCAATCCACTCGCCTTGGCCTCCCAAAGTGCTAGGATTACAGGCTGAGCCACTGAGCCTGGCCGACTCTGGCAATCTTAACAATCAGTGGAAAAAAGGAAAGTTGAGGGGCAGTCTCTTTATACTTCATTACAACTCTTTGTTGTAACAAATACCTTTTTTTTTTTTTTTTTTTTTTTTGAGTTGGAGTTTCACTCTTCGCCCAGACTGGAGTGCAGTGGCCGCTCCCGGCCACCACAGCCTCGCCTGCTGGGCTCCAGTGATCCTTCCGCCTCAGCCTTCCAAGTAGCCGGAATTACAGGCATGCGCTACCATGCCCAGCTGATTTTTTTATTTATTGTAGAGATGAGGTCTTGTTGCCCAGGCGGGTCTCGAACCCGCAGGCTCAGGCAATCCATTCACCTCAGCCTCCCAAAGGCGTGGGATTACAGGCTGAGCCACCGAGCCCGGCTACAAATACATTTCTAACTACACAAGAGCCCAGTTCAATTACAGAACCAAAAGTCTGTGTCAACTCTACCAGATCCTCAGTCTTCTAGGCTTTTGTCAAAGGGAAACGTGATGAAGGACAAAAGTCCACAATGTCAAGTTTTCAGAGACTTCATAGGATGAACTCATTCATTGATTTGAACCAAAAAGGGTGTCCTACTTATAGGTAACAGGTGCAGCCATGGGTATGCAGAACTAATATCACACACCAACCTACACAATCATGGTCCCACTGAGCCAAGTCAGTAATATGACTAAGCTATTAATCATTAATTTTTAAAAAATATACCTCAGAACAAACTATACTGGGGGAGGTAAGTGGGAAGCTCTCTTTTCATTAGGGAAGATGCTAACTATGGTTAGTCAAGCTGATATCCTGAACAGCAGTACTTCTAATAGACTTTTACTTACAAAACAGTTTCTCTTTATGGTAACCCAATCTTTCTTTTCAATAGTGAAGGCGATAAAGGCCTTTAATCCAAATCCTAAAACACAGAAACCCCCCCCCGCCGGCTCTAGTCTATCTCTACATTAGGGGAAAAGACAGAAAAACACAAATTGGCTTAGAAATTGGATGTTTTTGCACTAAATCAATCAATATTTCACCCCCTACCCCCATTCTCAAGGTCTAGAAGATTAAGTAACAAGAATTTAAAAGCCATTGAACAAGGAGGATGGGTATGACATAAAATACCTATACGATCTTCCTAACGCCAACCCATAAATTCCTAAAAATAACCGGGGACACTGCGATCATGGTTAATAATTTAACTATGAGTCTTGGTCCTTTTGTTTTGTTTTCTTTTAAAGAGACAGGGTCTCCCTCTGTAACCCAGGCTAAAGTGCAGTGGTGTGATCATAGCTCATTGCAGCCTCCAACTCTTGGTTTAAAGTGATCCTCATGCTTTAGCCTTCCAAGTAGATAGGACTAGGCATGTGCCACCATATTAGGCTATTTTTATTTTTTTGTAGAGACGGGGTCTCACAATGTTGCCCAGGTTGGTTTTGAACTTCTGGCCTCAAGCAATCCTTCCACCCCCAAAGCACTGGGATTACAGGTGTGTGCCACTGCAGCCAGCCTCATTTCTTTTAAACTCAAGAATAAATTTGGCTCTCATTCTTCCTTTGGCATAGGAAATAACTTTTAAAGTCCTGAAGACTGGTTCTGAAGTGAAACTAGTCAACTCAAAGCCAATAAATACATTTTTAAAACCCATATTAATTGGGGATTTTTTTCAACAATATTAGTTTTATTCAGTTTTTTGAATCCACCCAATTTTCTGAACATTATTTTCATTATTCTATTGGTACTACATTACCCAGTAGTCAGCTTTTCAGTAAACACTAACTGCTCTCTTGTAGATAAAGTCTCCAGTTTAAGAAAGGTGGTTACATTCAGCAAAGCCTATGGCAGCCTCATGCTTTCCAAAGTCCCTCCCTCCTTCATCTCCACCATCCTCTTCTCTGCTTTGATTTGTCACTTAGAACAGGCAAAGGTATGAGAAGTCTGAAGTTCCTGGGGCTTCACAACACCTTGTATTCTTAACTCCTTGGCCAAGGTCCATGTTAAGGGCTGTGTAATTAGCTGTAGCTTTTCCAATGAAAAATGAAACACTCTGATAGCTAGCCACAAAAAGACCAGGAAAATGGCTATCATAATTTAAGGTAGCTCAAAGAACCACAGAATGATTAGTGCTGCAAGGAAACTCAGGAGAAGGATATACTAATTTAAATCTCTTGGACTATTTTATTTTATAGAAATTTGGGTCACTGAAATCACAGTTAACTTCCTTCCCCCATCAAAACACTTATATGTTTTAACGAAACAAGTGATGGCTAAATATTTAATAATTATACTACTTTCCAAATGCCAACATTAATGCCACAAGTGGGAAGTTCCACATCTGACCTCACATGATGGTTTGCAGTCAAAATAGTTACAAATTTGTTTCATACACAAAGTTATTTAAAATACTGTATAAAATTATCTTCAGGTATGTGTATAAGGTGTACATGAGACATAAAATAATTTTGTGTTTTGCCATCTCCAAGATATCTCATCATATGTATATATAAGTATTCTAAAATCTACAAAAAAATCCAAAATCCAAAACTCTTCTGGCTCCAAGCATTTTGGATAAGGAATACTCAATCTGTACTAATGTCTATTTCACAGGATCTGGAGTAAAATTACAGTCATAAAAACTAGCTCCTAAGCATTTTATCACTGCTTATGAGATCACTGATCCTATCTCGAATGTGATGCCATGTGGTGATTAGAACAACGGACACCCTTGCCTACAGGTAAATATAACATTATCTAGACATTCATGTGTCAAGAAGAACAGAGGCCTGGAAGGGGTAGGAAGAAAGGTTCCAGGATCTTACTAAGTAAGGACCACTTTCCATTTCAATGATAACAATGGAAACACAGAAGGCTCAAGAAATACTCTGAAGATCATGCATTTAAGACTTAATAAATAAAATTCTATTTCAAAGAAAAAGTCTAAGTTCAAATGTTCTGCCACATGAGAATTAGGGTTTCTGCAAAGACACTGGCTGTGAAACACAGCCCACAGGAGCCCACATAACTCACCTGTACTTCTCATTGATGTTGGAAATCCTCCAGGCGTTGTTCATATCAAAACTCATCCTCTCTACCTCATTTTTAAACCTTGACGTTACATGCTCCCCTAGAGGCCGGAGACAGGCAGCAGAAAGGAAGAAATAAACATCATTTTACAAAACAGGTGGAATAATAGTATAGTTACCCTGCCTGGAGATACATATATATTTAAAGGCAGGAATTGTATAAATAATAAAATAACATATACTTAGTTTTAGTTTAAAAAGATACTTATCAGGCTAACACTATAAAGAGAAAATAAATTCTGATCAAGAATTTTCTGTTATCTCCTCTAATCTCTACTACAACTCTGAAAACAGCATCACTGAGCACATTTACAAAAGCCAAAACTGAAACTAAGAGAGGTTATTATAGCAGATCTTTCTGTCCCCTAAACTCACGCCATTCTTTTTTTTTTTTTTTTTTTTGAGTTGGAGTCTCACTCTGTCGCCCAGACTGGAGTGCAGTGGCCGCTCCCGGCCACCGCAGCCTCGCCTGCTGGGCTCCAGCAATCCTTCCGCCTCAGCCTTCCAAGTAGCCGGAATTACAGGCATGTGCTACCACGCCCGGCTGACTTTTTTTGGTTTATTGTAGAGATGAGGTCTCACCGCCCAGGCGGGTCTCGAACCCGCGGGCTCAGGCAATCCACTCACCTCAGCCTCCCAAAGGCAAGGGATTACAGGCTGAGCCACCGAGCCCAGCTACTCACGCTATTCTTACTACATTGGTTACTTTCCTACTTCCACACTCAGACCAATGGTGTACATAACAGGAATAAAAACAAGTATCAAGATCATCATGAGTAGGAATACAGAGCTACAATTCCTCATCCAAAACCCTTTGGTCCAGATTTCAGAAATTAAGAGTCTTCCAAATTTTAGAAAGGTAAGATGGTGCATATATTAATATCAGGCTCACATTCTCAACAGGATCTGCTTAATCAAGCATTAATATTTCTTCAGTGAGACACATAGACAGTTCACACCAACTGGAATAAATAAAGCAAAAAAATAGCTTCATGACAAAATACCAGAAAAGGTAAGAAAAACCCTTCAGCTTTCAGAGCCTTTTAGATTACAGGATTGCCAAGTAAGAAGTCATGGAATCATAACCACCAGTACCCAGGAATCTCAGGAATCATCATACTACATAGGTACTGATCATTTGTAAGAAGGTCCACCCAAATAGGTATAATCTGGCTACATCTGCCCTAATTAATTTGGCTTTTCTCTTCCTTAAGACAACAACAAAGGTAGAAATTAACCTGACATAAATGTCAGTACATCTGAAATAACTTTCTTTCTTGAAAACACAGTTCTAGGGCAGTAATGTTATTTTTAAAATACCAAGCAGCACCTCTAATATACAGTATTATATTCCAGGTTGCAAAATAAGTGCTGTTGGGCACTGGGAGAAACCACGACAACAAACAGAAGCACAAAATAAGACTGCTTTGGTGATCAAAATATAAAGCTTTGCTGTCCCTGGGAGAAGAGTTATAGAATAGGAAACAGCAATTATTTTAAAGAAAGACAACTCTATAAAACTACTTCCCATTTAAACTGCCTTTCTTGAGCTTAAGCTAGGTATTATATGTTTCCTGAAGAAAAGCTATAAAAAGATGAGGTTCAGAGACACAGGAAGAAATAATGGCTGAATCTATCGAATTCTGAAAAAGTTTTAGAAGCAATGAGGCATGCTTCCAAATAGGAAAAAAGCTATCTGAATTGGGGTGCTATCTGTCTACAAATTGTAAGGAATACTGACCATCAATAATACTATACAAAAAGTCTTTCTTTTTTTTTTAAAAAAAGTCTTTCATTCATAGCCCCAATCCAAAAGCTGCAAAACTGTGGCAACTTCCAAGCTCATTAATTAAAAGATGTTTTTCCCAGCCTAGGATATAACGCCAAGTCTTTGCAAATGGTAAAATGATCTTTTACATTAGTACCTCTATCTTAGGGTAAAAACACACAGACACCCTAAAAGAATCTTGTGATTTTAAAATAACCTCTAGCAAATAACAATAATAACCACCACCACAATAACCACCACCACCAGTAATTTACTTCATAGAATCCATATTATCCAGGCCTTAGAATCACCATCCAGAGCATAATATTCTGAGTTACACACAAAAATATACACTGAGTAGTAGGTATTGTTATTTCAAGTTCCTTGAGAGCAAGGAGTGAGTTTTAATTACCTTTGTTCTTCTAAAACTGTGACTTTACAAATTCTAAAACTGACCATCACAACCCACAATAATTATGCTTTCCATCACAATACTTCATATATTTATTTTTTAAGAGACAAGGTCTTAGCCAGGCGCTGGTTCACGCCTATAATCCCAGCACTTTGAGAGGCTGAGACGAAAGGATTGCCTGAGCCCACAGGTTCAAGACCAGCCTGGGCAACTTGGTGAGACCTCATCTCTACAATAAATCAAAAAATTAGCCCAGCATGGTGGTGTGTCCTGTAGTTCCAGCTACTTGGAAGGCTGAGGTGGAAGGAGTGCCTGAGCCTGGTAAGTAGAGGTTGCAGTGGCTGTCAGCATGCTACTGTACTCCAGCCTGGGCGACAGAATGAGACTCCAACTCAAAAAAAAAAAAAAGAGAGAGAGAGAGACAGGGTCTTGCTCTGTTGTCCAGGTTGGATTCTGACTCCTATGCTCAAGGGATCCTCCCACCTCTGCCTCCAGAGTAGCAGGGACTAAAGGTATGAGCCACTGGACACAATTAATATAACATGTTTATTTTTAAATACAGGTTTCTTACTATGCATGTAATACATTTTGATATTGATTTCATGGTCCACTACATGGGCCTGTTTGAAAACCATTTCTTGAAAAAAATCTAGTGGCAGATCTTATATGCATGAGTAACCCAATCAGCTTTTGTAAATGTGTTAGATGTTCACTTATATTTACTAAGCCAGAAAAGTACATATAAACACATCTATTGCTGAATTTTCCTTAAGAATTTTCATTTCAGAATTTTTCCCATGTTTCAACTGATTGACCATTAGATACAATGTGATATCCCAACTTTTTTTTTTTTTTTTTAAGTATTGAGGCCATAAGGTTTTTGTTTGGCTTTGTATTTCTACTTCAACCCTGTCTGCCTCCCTCATTCCCAGTAGGATTTGTCTCCCTCCAACATTTAATGTTTCTTATACTACAAATACAATCCAGCAATTTTCATTTTAGTGGAAATGAAAACTTTTTTTTAAAAAAGCAATGAGCTCCCTAACTCCCTCTATCATACCACAGTGTCAATCGGCAGTCTAAAACATCTTCCCCTAAAAAAAAGTCTAGCTCCCTGGCTGATTCTGAGTGTTCAAGCACATCACACACAGCTTAAAGGCCTGGGATAGAAAGGACAGGCTTTCAGCCAGCACGTGAGGAAGCAGACCAATACCAGAGTCAGAGAAGGTGAAACTACCCCTTCCAGATTTTCAAATATAAAGACAGGAATTATTCTTTTCTATGTACAAAGGTCCCAGTAAGTCCTCTAGATGCACACTTCTGGACTACATGCAAGCCCAGAAGACAAACAGGCAGCTGTACAGCAGTCTAAGGCCCAGTCATATGTTATTCATGGATAAACAAGATAAGCTTAATTGGCATTTCTCACATGAGGGGCTAGAGAGGTAGGTCTGATGCTACTAAACTGGCAGCTGAACTGCCCAGTCATCTGTCAGAACTCCAGATCAATGCTCTAATACAGAGCCATCACCAAAAAGCCAGCTGCAATGAGAAGCAGGAAGTTGAGGACATGTGAGAGAAGTTTTTAATCTTTAGTCCACTCCTTTAGAAAATGAAGGGCTAAGAGCAGAACCAAGAGTTTGGCGAGGGCTTTTGCAGGTTTCACAGGTGAATTCTAATAGTGAGACTTCTTCCAAAGCTGATTAGGACCTAGTGTTGTGGCCACTGTATGGCCTGTATGTCACTGTATATGGTCTAACTGTGTGATAGGTTCAACAGCTAGAAACTAAGATTTTTATGAACACCAAGACAGTGATGGAGTTTTCCCATTTCCCTCCTCTCTGATACACTCTACTCTCAACAGACTCAATTGACTGCTGAAAGATTAAACTAACTTCTACCCCTAAGAGTCTATGCTTATAATCTCATGTACCGGGGGAGATCATAAAAAAGTATGACTTTGAAATATCTCAAGTGCTGTCTCACCCTCAAGATGACTTATAAGAACACAGTTGTCTGATATGCTCATATGTGGTGAGTAATGCTACAGTTACCACCAATATCCAACAATAGTGAGTGGAGGCAAAAGAACCAGGTTGACTGGCTTTAAAAATGCCACCAAGGTGTATTTTACTAAAAGCAAGCTTTTTATCTGTACTCTACAGTGAAAATATATATATTAAAAGATAAAAGCCACACATACACACACACAATCAATCAAGTCACTGAAATAAAATAAGGTTTCATGTGAGTGGTGGCACTCAGTGTGGACTGTGTACACTGGGAGGAAACAAAACGCAACCCTTACTCATATAGTAATCTCCAACCAATCAGTTATGATGGCATTACCTTGTAGTTGTATAATTTACAGTGTTTTCACAAGCATGACACATAGGTGGCACCTCAAATATTTACTCAATTGAACTCTGCAGCATTAACAGATCTGATCTTCAGGATACCTGGATCAGCTTGGGCAGGAGGAGTCCCCAAATCAATGTCCCCATTTGAAGTACAAAGGAAACCAAAGTGCAAAGAGGATAAATGCCTTGTCCAATACTCTTTTTTCAATTAAATGGTAGAGTATGGGTTTGAATTCAGGTTTTCTAATTCCTAAATCAGGTATTTTACTCCCTCTACATGTCCCATGCATCACAACCCACAAAAAAGACAGAGGACACTGTGGATATCTCTAGGTCCTGATGGCCAAAGAATACCAGACATCATCAGGAAGGGAAAGGTCTGGGGACTAAGGTCATTTCACCTCAGTACACAGCACCCATCATTAAATACAAGAGTGAGGTTCTAACTTGGCATGTCTTAGGAATATTCTGAGTTGACTCAAATCTAAAAGAAACAACTAAAATTATCAAGAAAATAAAAACGTCCTCTAAAAAAGATGAGAACATTCCAGGCTGTGGCTGTAAGAGAACAAGATAAGAGAAAGTAAGCCATGTTGACTAATGTTAGCAATCTAAAAGAAGGAAATGCTTCTTGGAGTTAGAGGTCTTAAACAAACTGAAGTTCTTATATAACGCAATGTAGCAGAATGTAATATTAAGTTCATTCTCAAGATGGTAGAGACTAAAAACTTAGGTAAGTTGCAATGATTAAAAACACAGCAAATATACATATAAGATTTGCATATTTCATTGTCTGTAACTTTATCTTAAAAACAAACAAACAAACAAGAAACAGGTCAGACGTGGTGGTTCACATCTATAATCCCAGCACTTTGGGAAGCCGAGGTGAGAGGATTGTCTGAGCCCAGGGGTTCGAGACCAGCCTGGGCAGCTTGGCAAGACCTCAACTCTATAATAAATCAAGAGATATTAGCTGGGCGTGACGGTGCATTCCTGTATTTCCAGCTACTTGGAAGGCTGAGGCTAAGCCCAGCAGGTCAAGACTGCGATGGCTGTGAGCGTGTCACCACACTTTAGCCTGGGCAACAGAGACTCCAACTGAAACAACAACAACAAAACTTGAAAACTACCCTAAACAAACCAAAAAAATTAAATTAAAATGTGATGCCATCTCAAAAATAAAGAAAAAAAAAGAGATGCAATGGTTAGAGTGATGTGAGAGATGGTTTAAACACATTCTCATAAATATAAAACGTCCAAGGTTGCTGTGGTCTCTTGTAGATGATTTTGAGCTTTACTGGCCTGGACAGGCTTAGAAGTTTGGATTCTGAGCATTTTCCTGAAGTTCCACAGGGCAAGTATCTCTGTCTTTCGAGCTTTGTATCCATAGCACCCCCACATAGTCAGCTCTCAATACATGGGAACTGTGCTAAGTCCTAGTTCTCTCAGTGATTAGCAGTGGGACTGGACAACAGGCTTTACCTCTGAGCCTCCATTTTTTTTAGCTCCCAATACAGAAACACCAGTTTATCCTGCCTGTTTGACAAGGTCATAAGGATCAAACAAAAATAATACTTATGTTTTTTACAGGCATTTTAATTGAAGACTGATTTAGGATCAAGATTGAAGATTCAGGATTAAAATTGTAGCTTTAAAGAAAAATGTCCTAAGAGTAAACTTTACTTGAAGAAGGGTTACAACTTTCACTATGCAGAAATTCAAGACTTTGCCTCTAAGCCTGACACAGTAAGAGTCAGTGTTGGATCAGCAAAGCTCTGTATATTTTTTACAAACATGCAGAGAAATAATGTGAACTTGGTCAAAGCCATTTCTGAAGGAGATGACAGTGAATGGGACAAAGGCTATATAAGGATTCAGGTTGCAGAACAGGCTCAACATCTCTATCTGTCCTTGAGGAAGGCACTTGGGCCTCTCCGGACCTCTGTTTCTTCACCTTTAGGATGAAAAGGGTGACAACAGGCAAACTATGACTTGAAAATTCCAAGACAGTGAACAGTATTTCTGTATTCCACTATTCTATATCTTAGCCTCACACTTCTGTACCTTTGTTCATGCTTTCTCTGTCTAATGTTCTCTTCCCCATTCTCTAATCAATGAACTTCCTATTCCACCTTCAAAGTCTATTCAAAAGCCACTTCTAATGTGAAGTTTTCCCAGCCACATACACAAAACTCATGGCTCCCTTCTATTAGGCTTCCATAATACCACTGAAACCTTATTATAGTTGTTTTTACGCCTAGTAGATTGTGGGTGCCATCTAGTGTTCTTCCCTTCCCCTAGAAGGCAGGAAACATGTTTAAGCTTAGAAGGAAAGGCACAAGCTAGGTGGTTCCATAAAATATACACTGATTTAATACATGACTGCTTAGGTGGTCCATTTCACATTAAAAGTACCTCCAGCAGTAGCCTGATAAAGTCCTTGGCCATTTGCACATTTTAGAAAGGCCTACCTGGTCTGCACAGGTCTCCATGTTGCTCTTTTTCACTGGCATAGACTTCCATGCACCAAGCATGGTATGCAAATGAGAAGAGATCTTCTATTTTAGCAGGTGGTCGAATTGCATTGTTCAGTCTCTTCAGCCACTCTTGACACTGCTCAAAGGTTGAGAACTGACACCTTTTGTAAAGCCAAACAAGTAGGAATGTAATCAGAAGACAGCTAACAATGAAGTCTAAGAAAAGCTACTATGAGTGCCTACTCATAGTGAATTAAAATCAAGAAAGCATCAGAAGCAGTCACTCACATATTATCAATTATAATACAAACAAATTTTAGCCAATGGTGCAAAATGTCTGAAACAAAAAAGCTGGACAAAAGTTCTTCTGAAATTACAATTATCACAGAAAAATGGCAGCTATTCTTTTCCATAAATGGGGTTTTCATTCTTTTTCCATCAGTTTTATGGTTGTCCTTCTCAAAAATGTTTAGAAAAATTATTTTTGTTTTATAATAACAAATTAGGTCAAAATAAAAAATAAGCCACAGTACTACTTTTAGACAGTCAGGGAGTAATTTCAAAATTTATCTACTTAGCAATTAGGACAAATCAGATCCAAAAGAAAGATTATGCTAAAATTTTTAGCCGTCACCATGTAGAAAACAAAATAATTCTATTATCAATTGCAATTTTCAGCATATACAACTAAGGAATCAAAATAATTAGTGCATGCTGATTTGTTAAGGATTTGGTAGAATATTTTGCCTTTTTGAATGCAGTGTTAAAAACTAAGTAATAAAATAAATAAGCTTTTAAAACTGTGAGTTGTAGCCAGTATCTACCAAAAGTAAGACAAATCTGACAGACTAAAAAGCAACTTAAATATTACCTCAAACCAAGGGGTCACTTAAACCTCTCTCTGTCCCAATCAATGTGCCTCATCAATATGCTGACACATAATGTTTACTGGCACCCCAAAGCAGGTCAAAAGGATAGAGTAAAAGCTTGCAAAATTTAAAACTTCTAGAGCTATTAAATTAAAAACGCATTTCAGGCATCATTTTGCAACCATTAAGGTTGGTTCAGTTAAAAATTACCAATGGCACTTAACCTATGGAGAAATCTTGATGAGAAGCAGGATATTTGCATTGTCTCAAAGTGTTTACCAAAGACTGTTTATTAATTGCAAGGGAGAAAATACAGAAATTATACAGAAATCAGGTGACATCTTGACTGAAGTCATCAGAAACAACATCACCAGTGAGGGACAAGTAGACACCGTTTGCCCCTGATGCGATACAATGCCCTGAAAAGGACACAACATGATATATACAGTATTCCGGATGAGAATACATAACCTCAATTTAATTGAAGAAACAATGGACAAACAAAAAATGAGAAACATTCTATTAAAACAAAAGAATATATTCTTCAAAATGTGAATGTCCTAAAAAAATAAAGAAAGGCTGTGAATAATGTTTCAGATTAAAGAAGGCTTCAGAATAATGGCAGCTAAACATAAAATCTGACTTAGACTGGATCCTGTACTGGATGAGATGGGTGAAAAAGAATGTTATTAAAGACATCATTAGGTGAACTGACAAAATTGGAACACGTATAGTACAGTGGATAGAAGCATTAATGTAGCCAGGAGTGGTGACTCAAGCCTATAATCCCAGTACTTTGGGAAGCTGAGGTGAGAGGATTGCCTGAGCCCAGGTATTCGAGACTAGTCTGGGTGACTTGCCAAGCCCTTGTCTCTACAGTAAATCAAAAAATTAGTCGGGTGTGGTAGTGCACACCTGTAATACCAGCTACTTGGAAGACTGAGGCGGAAGGATCGCCTGAGCCCAGTAGGTCGAGGCTGCGGTGGCCATAAGCGTGCCACTGCACTCCAGCCTGGGCGACAGAGTGAGACTCCAACTAAAAAAAAAAAAAAGAATTAATGTAAAATTGTGAACTTGATGATGCTGTGATTATGTAAGAAAATATCTCTATTCTTTGGAAATTACACTATTTTGGGGTTAAGAGCTATGATTATATAACTTACTCTGAAATTGTTCAGGAAAAGAAAGAAGGCCTCTGCAAATGACACACACACAGAAGGCCTCTGCAAATGATAAAGCAAATGGGCGTAAAGAGTTAAAAATAACAGGTGAATCTGGATAAATAGTATATTGATGCTCCTTGTACTATTTTTATTTTTGTACTTTTTGGGGTAAATTTAAAGTTATTTCCAAATAAAAAATGTCTTTCAACATGGCAAAGTGCCCTAAAGATAAAATACTTCAGGCACTGACTATTCAGAAAATATTCTTAACAATGCCAACCCTCAAAAGGTGCTTTGTTAAGCTACCAAACCATGGGTCCATTCTTTTAAAAAAAATATTTTCCACACTAAACAGCAGCACAAACATACCACATACCTGATAACTTTGCAGTCTTTGCAAGTCAAATGAAGCTGAAATATATCTCGGCATTCAACACTTTCTATAAGCTGTAATGGAACCTGTAATTTAAAAAGACAAATTCCCCTTAGTCAAAAAAGCACTGACCCTGTAGTTCTTCAGTGTGTCCAACAAGACTAATTAAAAGATTTATAGGGAAAAGCAGCAAACAGAATTGCAAACTTTTCTGGATCAATGGTACTCAAGTAATTTACTACAGGTTGAATTCGGTTTCCCTTTCTCTATCTCTAAACCAATGGCCTCAAGTCATGTCGTAACATGAAGGCAACGAACAAAGAGAAGGCACAAAGAGGAGGTACCACCTTTGGAAGAACAGGGAAATATATCTCTTGGACATCAAACTCACAAGATCTACGTACTACTTTTAGATGCTATAACTGGCTATGGTTAGCAAGGACACAAGTTAAAGGGAACCAGAATGGTAATCCTGTCTTGTGTACAGAAAAGAACTGCAGATCAGAACACAAGCTGGACTGTAGCTGTTGTGTGGCCCAAATGACAGAGTCTGCTTTTATGGTTTAGTTACTGTCAGCAAAGGAGGCTCCTGAAAAAGGTTGGAGGTCTAAACTGTGGATTACACAGAAAAGACAATGGGACACTAGTTTTGGTCAGGCTCTCTGCTTAGTATAAGAGACTCACAGGTACCAAGAAGAAGGAAGAAGGGAGGCAACACAGCATTCAAAGATCCTAAAACTATCTATGTCTGACTTGCTTCAAAAGACCAGTTAGAAGCCCTGTTTGCCAAGTGATTTGAGAAAGCTAGAATGGTTACCTCTCTGCCAATCTGGTCAGCAGACACCACTGGACACAGAATGATGTACTATACTGGATAGAGAACAGGGAGACGGATAGGTGGGAAAGTATCTGAACAGGGTACCAAATCCTCTGGGTGATATGAGGACCTGCCTCCTGGCCCTGAAATCACCTTGATTCAACCCTTGGCTTCAAAAGCAATTTCCATATCTTCAAGAGAGAAAATAATAGAGCATACTCTTATTCCTTGAGAAAGGGGTGAACCACTTGTATCTTACACTGTATCAAGATCAGCAAAATGTGGCTCTGGAAGTTGCAAATAGCATTCCAACAATTCACATTTAGCATGAGAAGAAGGCAGTCTCCCCCAACGCAGACAGGAACAAGAGAGTGCTGCCTGCACAGGGTAGCCCTCTGTTAGCTGAGCCAGTTTCAGTAACAGGCTTCCTGCAAACTCTGCCCTACCACACAGTTGCCAGAGTCAGCAGAGAACTCTCAGAACAAGGATACAGGATCAAAAAGAAGCCCAGTGCTGGAAGTCTGGAACAAAGAAACAGAAACTGGGGCAGGGATTTAAAAAGAGAAGAAAGCAAAATAATATTACTCAGATAAATGGCTGGGAGTTTCTACCTCAGGACTAAAGTCTTCTTGTTTCTAGTATATAATCTATAAAAAATTTCCTTACAAATGTAATAGGGCTGGGAGTAAGAGAAAGACCAAGAAATCTTGCCTGTGTTCTGAGAAAAAAAAGAGCTTGTGGCCTCGTTTTTGTTTAAGTCCTAACCCCAAGGTGCTGTGAGAAACTGCAGCTGATGTGGCTAAGAATGCTTTCAAGACCTGTACCTCTATGAAGGAAAAAAAAAAAACTCACTCTATCAGTAGAGATAAATTATAAAGGAGGAATATGGAGACTAAGAAGATAAAGATTAGAAGACAACACCGATTTGTTCTCACGCCAGTTCTTTGAACGCTCTGTAACAGACTTATATGTTGCTTTTTTCAAAATGTACTCCTGTTACTCTCTCTATGACCCCACAAAAAAGTGGCAGCCTGACTGGAAATTAAGAGGCCTGAATTCTAGTCTAAATTTCTTATAATTCTACCAATTAAAAATTTGCCAGCTAAGCTGGCCAAACCTCCAGCCTTCCTTTATACTACCAGCCTCTGCTTTCTGAACCTCTGATGGTCACAATTTAGGAAATCTCAGGTGTAGAGCCTAGGAAGGACCCAGGGTGGAGTGAGAGTGAGTTTTACAAATCCCCATGGAAAGGATGCTATCCTAGCAGTCACCTGCATCCCAGGTCACCTTCAACTGCCTTTTCTTATAGCTAGAAAACATAAAAACCAGCCAACGCTATTAGCAGTGTTGGGGGGGGGTCAGACTTTTTGCTACAAGAAACAGGAAAGTTTTACATCCCACCTACTGAACCACAGCCCAAGGCTACTGCCTAAGCTTAAAGAATAAAACAATAAAACACCTCGGAGCATGTGAAACATCTGCTACTTAAAATGCATTCAAAATATACAAATCTTCATGTACTCTAAGGAAAAAGGAAAATGTTGGTTCTATGCATTCAAATCAGATCGCAGACACTAGCAAGTCACCAAAAACAACCATATATATATGCAAGTCAAAGATATAGAGAATAAGCTAACTTTAACATTCATGCATTTTTGTCACATGCAGGAAAAGTTTAATATGCAGCAAGAACAGGGACATAAAAAAGAGAAACATATGATTCTATATGAAATGAGTGCCTCCCTTTTTGTTTGTCCTTTCTACCCCAGCATTCTCCTTCAGAGCTCTCTTCAGATTGCCTCCTCTTCTAAAAAGGTAGAACTGGCCTTTTCCTCTTCATATATCTAACCAAAATATACTATTTCTCCACTTAAGGCCCACTCAATTGCTTTTGGTTTCTCAACTTTCGTCACATATATGAAAAGGATATCTCACCATTTCTATAACTAGACATACTCAATATATACATCTATATGTATATCTATAACTCAATATTCAATACTCAATATTCAACCTTCATAAGCAAAGAATTATAGATTCAAGAGCCAGTCCAGGGCCGGGTGCAGTGGCTCATGCCTGTAATCCCAGCACTTTGGGAGGCTGAGAAGAGAGGAGTGCTTGATGGTGAAACTTCATCTCTACAACAAATTACATTAAAAAAAAAAAATTAGCCAGGTGTGGTGGCGCATGCCTATAGTCCCAGCTACTTGGAAGGCTGAGGCAGAAGGATCACCTGAGCTAGGCAGGCCAAGGCGATGGTAACATGATCATGCCACTGCACTCCAACCTAGGCAAAAGAGTAAGACAGACAGATACACAAATGCAAAAGGAACTAGCCTGTTTTACAGTTCAGAAAAGTTAAACCATTATACAATAAGCTAGTAGAGAAACAAAGTCAAAGTCAAGACCAGAATCCATGTCTGTTCTCCTGGGCTCCTCCTTCCACCTCATATGATGTGCCTTTCTTTCTTCCTCTATGATTGCCCTTCTTTTCTATATGAGCTCTACTTTAGTTTTCTTTTACAAGTAACTGGCTGCTCCACCAGGGATCTTCAAGAGCAAAATATAATTTAAGCTATGATTCCTTAGGGGCAAGTTCATTCATAGAAGAGTAGTAAAATCTAAAATCACTTTCTTTGTTGTTGTTGTTGTTGTTTTTTTTAGTTGGAGTCTCACTTGGTCGCCCAGACTGGAGTGCAGTGGCCGCTCCCGGCCACTGCAGCCTCGCCTGCTGGGCTCCAGCGATCCTTACGCCTCAGCCTTCCGAGTAGCCAGAATTACAGGCATGTGCTACCACGCTCGGCTGATTTTTTGATTTATTGTAGAGATGAGGTCTTGCTGCCCAGGTGGATCTCGAACCCGCGAGCTCAGGCAATTCACTCACCTCAGTCTCCCAAAAGCGTGGGATTATAGGCTGAGCCACCAAGCCCGGCTTAAAATCACTTTCAAATGGTCTCCAGCCTGGAGATTATAACAACTCATTTTATTTTGGTTTCTTTCTCTTCCATCTTCCACCTGCCAGATAACACTATCTCCCTTTACAGTGCTCTTCCTAATATAAACTCCACAAAACTCATGCTCCAACAACACATCATACACATTCAGTGCTATTAACCAATTCATCAAAAGGCCAAAAGTTACACCATGGGCACCAAAACCCTTAAAAGCATTAATTCAATAAAAGCAGAAGAGCAGCAATTTAAAATTTTAGCAGACATGCATGGGATTAAAGATCCACAGTACGCCACATTCCAAAGGGATCTGATGTCATCATACCCTACTATATTTACCTCCTCAATCATTGTGTGTGTGTGTGTGTGTGTGTGTGTGTGTGTGTGTGTGTGTATGCGTGCATGCATATGCATTGTTTTGAAGCACCAGAATTTAGAGTGGGATAATTTCTACCTTTTAAAAACAATCACTCTTTTTATAGTCTGAATGGGAAGTACTAACCTTGTATATACATCTGAAGTAAAAACAGCAGTAACAGACTGAAAATAAGGCAAGTAATTAATCTAAACCTAAAATCTGTAAAAAAAACTGTGGGATATCTGGGGACTAAACCTTTTCACTTAAAAAGTCTATCAAAGAAAGAAGACTATTACAGGTTAAAGACTCAAACCTTTTATTTCTCACCTTTGACATTTACAAGCCTCCAGTACTGGTTTTAGAGGCCTTTGATGAAATGGAATGCTAGGCCAAAGTGTATTAAGTGTTAAGAACCTCCTTCTGGTGCATGGGGAAAAAAGATGGCTACTTGTACTACAGCTAGACAATGAAAAAATGTGAAGGAATGCCAAGGAAAGGTGTTTCCAGCTGCTACACCTCCACCTTTTTCCTAAGAGGCATTGACAGACCAGCCTGGAAACAGAAGTTTTAATGTTCTCTGAAGTACTAATGCTGATTTTACAAATTATTTCTGGTTGAAACTTGATCTACACTTTTGAAGGGCACCATTCCATCTGCTTATTTATGAACTATGGGGCATTATCCTCACCCCACAAATTGTCCTCATTTTGGAGGACCCTGCACAACTAGAACTTGGTCCAGTAAGAGGAAAGGGACTCATGCAGATAGAACACATTCTGCTGATTTGCAAGGTGGGTATCTAACATTCAAAACCAATATGCTCCAAGCACAAGTGCAGCAATCACCTAAGATTTCTATGTTACTTACTGGGATTTCAGAAGCAGCAGATTGAGAAGTAGTCTATTGAATCACACACACACAAAAAAATTGTTTTAAACTTTCATGAATTCCACTTGAATACTTATTTATAAATTACCTAAGCTACAAAGAAATATGCCTGTATATAGTATGTAAAAATATAGTTTAGGAAAAACACAGAATGGGAGCGATTCATACCTTAACTGTTACCCATGAACTCTACTACAGAGGTTCTTTTAGGCTAGAAATTGGAACTTAATATGAGTGAATGTGTGTGGTTTAAAGTAATGATGTTAGCTGGGCTCGGTGGCTCAGCCTGTAATCCCGCGCCTTTGGGAGGTTGAGGCGAGTGGATTGCCTGAGCCCGCGGGTTCGAGACCCGCCTGGGCAGCGAGACCTCATCTCTACAATAAATCAAAAAAATCAGCCGGGTGTGGTAGCGCATGCCTGTAATTCCGGCTACTCGGAAGGCTGAGGCGGAAGGATCGCTGGAACCCAGCAGGCGAGACTGCAGTGGCCGGGAGTGGCCACTGCACTCCAGTCTGGGCAACAGAGTGAGACTCCAACTCAAAACAATAAATAAATAAAGTAATGATGTTTATAGTATCGAAATCTACGGACACCTTTCATGCAATGTGCTGTGAAATCAAAAGAGAATATATGATACCAGGTAGCTACTTAATACTTGATGGTAAGACATTTTCTAAAATGCTAAATATGTTAATTTAAGCATACAAAATGATGCACACTGGGACATGCCACAACATATACTGGCACATTTGGGTTTTGATGGTTTAAATGTGTTTGATTTAGATGTAATAACCTTTAAAGGGAGCCTCTTGATCCTACATATTTTACTGAAATACTTATCTGTTGAGGGAAAGAAGGAGGGAGGAAGGGACAATACTACCACAAACTCTCTGGTCTCCATCTAGGACCTGACACAGGAGGAACCATTGTTTCCTAGAGTAATTCCAGGTTTCAAGAACCTTAGCACTAACTGTGATGAGATTAAATTTATATGGAGAGGTTCTAGTCTCTTTCAATCTGAAATGTTTGAAGTCAAAGCAATGTCCAAATACTTTTACATAATCATTTTTCTGTGCAAAGCCATTATCTTGGGCTTTTTAAATAACATGCAGGCTCTATGGCTTAACAAGATTATAATGCTAACAGAGAAAACACTTTCAGATAAGGAAACAAATAAAAATAAAAACAGTGGTAAGCTTTCTTAAGCATTATATCTCAATCACAATAGGAGACCAACAATTTTAGTAAACAATCTACTCAAACAGCTACCCCTAGAGATAATAATACAGCCAATTCACACATTGTTTTAAAATGTGCTTTAAATTCAAAAGGGGGGAAATGGTCTAATGCCTACTTCAAACCAATATTAACTTCAATTCATTTAATATTTACTGAATATCATGGCACCAGGAGACATGCTGATCCTGAAGATATAAAGATGAATAACTAAAAATTACAATATATATGGTAAAGTATGTTCAAGATACAGAAAAAGCCAGAAGAGTGTAATTAACTGTCAGAGGGAACTGATACTGTGAAAGGCTTCACAGAAGTTATCACTTGAACTCAGTTTTGACAGATGAAGAAAAGTTCCCTACACAGGTGAGAAGAAAGAATGCAGAGGTGTGAAGTATGACTGGTTTTACAAGTACAAAGGGGACATGGCGGAAAGTAGGGAAGCAGACAGAAAAGCAGGGACCAAGCATCACAAACAGCCCTATATCATGCTAAGTAATTCCATCTTCATCACAAAAGTAGTGAAGAAACACTGAAGGTCTTAAAGCTGATGAATGACATGATTAATTCTATGCGTTTTTGCCAATAGATCCTATTCCCAAATAGATCTGAAAATAGTCTCTAAATACTTGGTCCTTAACCAATAAGTTGATAACTAGGGGATGATATGAGAAAATACAACGATTTAAAACTCTATCATTCTTACATGCAATTTAATTACAATTTTATTGATTCAGCCATTTAAACACTGAAAAGAATACAAAATAAAATGGGGCAGTTCTACTATTCATTACTTCCATAGTAGCTGGTAGGGATTTTATAGGCATTTATAGGTATAGGCGCTTCCACCTTTTCTCCTTCCCATCATAACCACTCAAATTCAAATAGACCCTTCTGAATAGAGTGCTATATAGTATGAAAGAACAGCATTGCCTCTTTCCTTGATGAATCTGTTGTGTACTTTTAGCTGTTGGACAGAAAACTGACATAATAGATATGACCGCAGCCCAAATCTAAAAGCCAAAAGAAATTCAGGCCCAAACTGTTCCTGGACATAAATGCTTAACTACAAATAATAATAATAAATAATAAGTACAGATTACAAAGAAAATGACAACTGATAAGTCTTTGATAAATGAAAAAATGTGACTGAGGAGTTGGGTAACTTTTTGACTGCTAAGTAAAATGTACGAAACTAACAGATTTCAACAATTCCCAAAATGACCCAAAACACACAAGCTGAATAGAGTTACAATCCTGAGCTGTTAAAAGGTGTCATAATGCACTTCTCTGTGCTAGAACAGAACTACAGAAAGCCACAATAATGACAAGTAAAAAAAGGAGGACATTCATTTGAGGGAAGTACAAGAACTTTCAGGCCTTTGTCAGTCTCATTTAAGGCTACGACAATAGCTGTGCACTAGAAGAACCAGTTCATTGAAAGGACCCTCATAACTGAAAAGGGTAAATGCACTTTTGAGAATTGAGTCTTTCTTTTTTTCAGTAATATATAATATATTATGCAAATAAAACACTTAACAACTACATTTATACCACTAAGGGGCCAGAGTAACTTCATCCTATAATGAGAATCTGCAGTGAGCTCAAAGCATATCTCATCATTTGACATTAAGGCCCAAGAAATTAACTCAACTGAGGCAGCTGCTAACTATTAAAGATTGAAGAATAGGCCAGACACGGTGGCTCATGTCTATAATCCCAACACTTTGAGATGCAGAGGTGAGAGGATTGCCTGAGCTCACAGATTCAAGCCCAGACTGGGCAACTTGGCAAGACCTCATCTTTACAATAAATCAAAAAAATTAGCTGGGCATGGTGGCGCATGCCTGTAGCTCCAGCTACCTGGAAGGCTGATGTGGAAGGATAGCCTGAGCCAGCAGGCTGAGGCTGCAGTGGTCACGAGTATGCCACTGCACTCCAGCCTGAGCGACAGAGTGAGATGCCGACTCAAAAAAAAAAAAAAAAAAATGGGGAGACACCTCTTATCAACAAGGATGCCTGAACGAAGCATATTTGTATACCTAACCCTTAACTGTACCCCACAATATCATCATAAAAAATACTGATTAAAAAAAGATTGAAGAATAAAAGCCTATTCAGCCTTCGTACCTTTATAAAGCTTAATGACATAGCATCATCTAGTGTAAATCATTCAGTGTTAACTAAACAACAGACAGCTCAGCTAACAACATGTATCATTTTAAGTCAAGTATTTAGAGTTGCTTGCTAACCTACCGTTCCTTGAGTGCTGCTACATTAAGTGAGAGAAAAGCAGAGCACACAAGAACATTAACAATATTTTTTTATTTCCTTTCTCCATCTACCTTAGAGGAAGAAAAACGTAACCACTTACATTAACAAGAGACTCCTTGAACTTGATGTGAAGTCTGTAATTAGAAAGGGCAATGATGGCATCCTCAGCACGGCCCACATACTCAGTGCTCTCTCCATGAAGTTCAAGGAAAGGAACCTTCAAAATGAAAGTAGAAACTCTTCTCAGAGTTCTGAAGCAGTAAATTGAAGTCTTCACACTTGGGTCAGATGAATGGAAGGTAAATCCTCTGCCATCCAAGTTGAAAACCCAGTACACAAGTTGGTATAGAAAGGAAACTAAAAAGGATGGGTTTATACCCACCAAACTCAAATATATCTATCTAGTTATTCAAATTCTGAACTACTAAAGGAATGACACAAAGATCATCTGAAACAGTAAATGTTCAGGAAGTAAGTCTTGCTAAAAATGAGATGTCTGTCTTCCAGCTTGCATTTCTACATGTATGATTTAGGAAAATATTTACATGTTATATAGAGTATTACTTCAATCCATTAGCTCTGCTACATAGTTACTTTCATGCTAAATACATATTTTAAAGTTAAAAGTCGTCCGTAGTTACCTGAAGATTCTCATCCTCCCGGATCAGCTGCTTCCTGGGAAAGATCTGATTGGCCTGGATGCACTCAAGGCTGTGCCGAGTCTCTTCATCCTGGAAAAGCCCAAAACCTTAAAATAATGTCAAAGTTTCTAGTCATCCATATTTGTTTTACCTGCCATGTCTACTAACATAATCACAATGAGAGTTCAAAGACAAGGTGAACAGGCAGAAAAGCTCAAGGAAAAATATTCATACCAAAAAGTGTTCCATCCAATATATCAGGTACCTCTAGTCTGAGAGTACATTGAGGCAAAAAAAGTCACAAAAGTTTCTATTAGGCAATAATAGGTTGTTAATACATTACTTTTAAGAAAAACTAAAATACAGTGTTTCTACTCTAAATTACAATCTTAAGTTCTTACTTTTGAGAGACAGGTGGGTGGAGGGGAGTAACAAGGAAGTGATTGGGGCATAAACGAAACAGGACTGTCCATGAATTACTCATTGATTAAACTGGGTAAGTGGGATTTCACTGTCTATATACCATTGTGTCTACTTTGGTTATATGTGAAATTTCCATAATAGAAAGTCTGAAAAAAAATTTTAATAAAAAGTAAGCTTAAGAACTGAATTTCATTAGGCTCGGTGGCTCAGCCTGTAATCCCGCGCCTTGGGAGGCTGAGGTGAGTGGACTGCCTGAGCCCACGGGTTCGAGACCCGCCTGGGCAACTTATTGAGATCTCATCTCTACAATAAATCAAAAAATTAGCCGGGTGTGGTAGCACGCGCCTGTAGTTCCAGCTACTTGGAAGGCTGAGGCTGAAGGATCGCCGGAGCCCAGCAGGTCGAGGCTGCGGTGGCTGGGAGTAGTCACTGCACTCCCATCTGGGCGACAGAATGAGACTCCAACTCAAAAAAAAAAAAAAAAAGAACTGAATTTCCCCAATTGAAAGCATATGCGAACCACTATCCCTCATTTACTCTGCCTTGTATTACAAATATTCCTGTTAAGGCAATTTCAAAAGAGGAAGCAATAAATTCTCATCTAAATGGCACTTAAATTGAACTGCAATATGTATAGAAAAGCAGTATTTTGCATTATGAATTTTTATGGTATAGGAAGACACAAGAGAAATGTCATCTATCAGAAAGCCTAACTAAAAATTATAATGGAATCTGTTTACACAGTAATTTTTAAACAACAAAAACCACATCATGTTTAGCTGACAGCACTGTTATAGCCACTAGTTACTGATCATTTCTGCACATTACTTATCACAATTCTAATAATTTTGTAAATTCTCCCCACACAGAAGAAAAAAAAAAACCCTACCTATAAACAACACTTATGATTTTAGCTAACAGCAACCACAGTCATAAAATGGTAATACTCTACTACTGCAGTTCTCAAAATGAAGTCCACAAAATTCGAGATCCTTACAGTCAAAACCACCTTCACAATAATATTAAGGCATTATTTACCTTTTTCACTGTGTTGACATTTGTACTAATAATGCAAAAGTAACTGGTGGGATAAAACTGCTGACACCTTAACACAATCAAGGCAGTGGTACCAATTTCACCAAGAATGACCTTGATAAAGCCAGGAAAAATTAAATCTTAACCCTTAAGTAGAAGTCTTTTTATGTAAGAAATACACAAAAACACCTCTGTGGCATACTGAAGTATTACGGTTGTCTGAAGGTAAAGAATTTTGTGCAACTGTTTAAACTACCCAGTTTTTTCATTAAATACCACTATATTTATTAGGTCAGGATCGGTGGCTCAACCTGTAATCCCAGAACTTTGGGAAGTCGAGGCGAATGTATTGCCTGAGCCCGTGGGTTTGAGACCAGCTTAGGTAACTTGGCAACACCTCATATCTACAATAAAAATAAAAAAAATAAGCCAGGCATGGTAGCTCGTGCCTGTAGTTCCGGCTACTTGGAAGGCTGAGGCAGAAAGATCGCCAGAGCCCAGCAGGTTGACGCTGGGGTGGCCGTGAGTGTCCCACCTGCACTCTAGCCTAGGCAATGGAGTGAGACTCCAACTCTGAATTAATGAATGAATGAATATCACTATATTTATTCATTTTAACTTTTTATTTTTTTGAGTTGGGGTCTTAATCTGTTGCCCACAATGGAATGCAGTGGCACAATCACAGCTCACTGCGTCATTGAACTCCGGTGCTCAAACAATGCTTCTCCTCAATCACCCAAGTAGCTGAGACAACAGGTGCACAGCACCATGCCCAGCTAATTTTTTTATTTTTTTTAGAGATGAGGTCTCACTATGTTGCTCAGCCTAGTCTCAAACTCCATAGCTCAAGCAATCCTCCTGCTCAGGCTCCCAAAGTGCTGGCATTACAGGTATAAGCCAGCACACCAGGCTGAAATATCATTTTAAACTGAAAGGACAACTGATGGACAAACTGTGGTAATCCAGACTTGGACATTTGGCAGATCTTTTCTCCAAAAAACAGTATTAGTTGCCAGATAAAGGTTTTATATAAAAATTAGATTTTGGTGACCTTCCATATGACCCCCTTAATCCTCCTACTGGGAATATACCCAAGGAACTCAAATCACTCTATGAAAAAGATACCTGCACACACATGTTTACTGCAGCATTGTTCACAATAACAAAAACATGGAGCCAACCGTTCTGCCCATCAAAAGAAGACTGTATTAAAAAATGTGGTACAAATACACGATGGAATATAACACAGTCACAAAGAAGGACAAAATTATAAGCTTCACAGCAACTCAGATGGACTTAGACTCTATAATATTTAGTGATCTATCACAGAAACAAAGAATGGAGTATCACATGTTCTCACTCATAAGTGGACCTTGAACAATTATTATAATACTATAAGAAAAGGACTGGCAGTAGTGGGAAACTGCAGAGGGGGGAGAAGGAGGGAGGGTGGGATTGGCAGTAGTAGGAAACTGCCAGGGGAGGAGGGGCACACCTCATCAACAAGGTTTCCTACATAATGAACATTTGTATACCTAACCCTGAATTGTACCCCACATCTTTAAAATTTTTTTTAAAAACTTATATTTTGGAAAACGATCATCTCCCACCATGAACTTGATAGTTTCCCAATACTTAGGCCTTTTATGGTAAAAATGGCGGTAACATTATCAAATGTGATTTTTAAAAAATTATATAATGAAATATGCCAACATTTGGAAGAGTTACATTATTAAAGAACCCGTTATTATTGATGTTACAAAATCATTCATGGATAAAAGATAAATTCAAAGTGCAAGAAAGACGAATGGTTTTAATGTAACATGATACAAAAAGTTCATTGATGTGGTTTCAGATTCTGCACTGCAACTAATCTTTAAAGAACTAATACTTATCAAGTTTTGGTGTAGTATTAAAGAAAGATACAAACAATTATCTGGGAAAACTATTAAAATATTCTTCCCTTTTCTGACCACTTTTCTAACCACTCACCATTTCTGTGAGGCTGCATTTTCCTCATATAAACTTCAAACAAAACAAATATTGTGACAGATTGAACGCAGAAAGACATAAGAATTCAGATGTCACCTATTAAGCCAAGCATTACACAGATTTGCAAAAATGTTATACTAATTATCTTTAGATAAGGAAAAAGTTATATTTCATCAAAAATCTTATTAATGTTACCATGTAACTGGTTATTGTTAGTTTTAATGAATTAATGAGCATTTTAAATATTTCAAGTTTTAATTTCTAATATGGTAAATATAGTTAGACATAACCCACATAAAAAATCGCTCTTGAGGGTATTCAATAATTTTTTTTTTGAGTTGGAGTTGCACTCCATCGCCCTGGCATACTCACAGCCACCCCAGCTTTGACCTGCTGAGCTCCGGCGATCCTTCCACCTCAGCCTTCCAAGTAGTCAGAACTACAGGTGTGCACTACCACGCCCGACTAATTTTTTTAATTTATTGTAGAGACAAGGTCTCACCCAGCTGCCCGGGCTAGTCTCAAAGCTGCGGGCTCAGGCAATCCACTTGCCTCAGCCTCCCAAAGTGCTAGGATTACAGGCTGAGCCACCAAGCCTCGCCAGTCCTCAATAATTTAAGAATGTAAAAAGAAGTCCTAAGACCAAAGAATTTCAGAACTGCTGCTCTACTATATTCTAATACCAAATACCACCTAAAGCTGCTTCTTTCCAAAAGTCAGCCTTTCTCTAAAATCATTCTCCTACTCTAATCTACAACAGGAAAAACCATACAGACGTGAATAACCACCACTTTACCCACCTATCATCCACTAATCACAGCATCTTTGCTACTAGCTGACTAGGTCCTTCAATGGGGTCATTTTATCTTGAGGCATATGCCTTTCAATGGCTCTCTTAAAATTTGATATTTAAAATTCAGAAGAAAATTAGCTTCAAATTACAAAAATAAAACTTTAGCAACTGTATAGATTGTTCATAAAATGCTACAAAAAATGCAAAACTTCAGTTATTAAATTCAGACTTTTATTTTTATATCAGAAACAAGTCATACATTAATGACACTTCCCTAGGATTGCTAGGTATTCACCGTGATTGTTAAGAAATTAAGGCCGGGCATAGTGGCTCACACCTGTAATCCCAGCACTTTGGGAGGCGGAGGGGAAAGGACTGCCTGAGTTCATGGGTTCAAGACCAGCCTGGGCAAGCTGGCAAGACTCCATCTCTGCAATAAATAAAAAAATTAGCCAAGCACTGTGGTGTGTGCCTATAGTTCTACTTACTTGAAAGAGTGAGGTAGAAGGATCGCCTGAGCCCAGCAGGTCAAGGCTGCAGTAGCCATGAGTAAGACACTACAGCCTCCTGGGCGACAGAGTGAGACTCCAACACATATACACAAAAAAATTATGCCTAGCAATCAAATAATTTCCAAAGCAAAATCACAAAACTTTTTTTAGTTTCTTATATATGTATAGCCAAAAAAATGTTTGATGAAGTTGGTGTGTTTCAGTAAAATTAATATGTGGCTTGGGGGCCTCCTAAAGTAATTATCTAGAGTAGATGAGGGTTTGTAAATGGCTCTACCCCTACAAACAAAAAAAAATAGCTTATTAGATGAAAAGTTTTGTGTCAATCTGTACCA